CTGGCTTTCCTGCGGTGGCTGTCACGGGAACAGCCTGCAGAGCGCAGTTTCACACCCTGGATATACTGGACGCGATGATCTCAGCAGAGCTGCGCAAGCCCTGCCAAGTGGCGGGCGCAGGCGTCTGTCAGCCCTGTGATAAATAGGATTCCTTGATAACGGTGTTCAGAGGTAGGAAGGGAAGTGGCGTCTGTAAAAGAAAAAACCCAAAACCACCAAAACCTGGTGATCCACTGTACTGTGGCATGGGATGCTTCTGGGTCCTGCAGTCTGTCGGAAAGCTGCCGCGTTAGAGAAGGTTGAGCGCTCTCAGACGCTTGCTGTGTTTTTGTTGCCTTGCCAAGGTGCTGCTTTAATAGCTCACGGGCCAAATCACAGCGGGGTCCTTTGCTAAAACTCATTTACAGCCTTTCTGAGATGAAGTGATGCGCTCAGACGCACAGACCTGGAAAGGATGGTGTTTATTTCGGGAAGGTTCAGGCGCCTCGGGCTGGCAGCCCAGGCATGGTGCTGCGTCACCTGATGGATCCCAGGGAGAAGATGGGTCCCCAGAGCCTCAGGCATGCTCTACCTTCGGTGTGACGGCTGCTTTGGCCCTCTGCCTTTGCCCTGCTGTGAGACAGGAATAGCACAGGCTAGCTTTGCTGGCTCTTTACTCCATCTAGAGATTTTTCTATGCCATAAGTTTCTCATCTTACCTTTTAGGCTGGCTTTAAAATTGCTCCAGAGCGCAAATTGGTCCTTTATAGGCAGAGAGCACTCTCCCTGCTTCCTCGCAGCTAGCCAAACAGCATCCAGGCAGGGACAGGCAGGGAGAAAGGGGCACAGGCTTAAGTTGGGTTCAAAATGTTATGGCTGGATAGCTTTAACATGCAACAGGCAGCTCTGTCAGAGGCAGAAAAGGATGAATGAGCTTGTTCTGATGGCTTTCCAGGCATCCCTAGAGCATTAGCAACACTGGTTCAGGTGCTAAAGGTCTTCCAGACCCGTGAGATTTATGCAATTAAAAATATGCCCTTAATTTCTTCTTTTAGAACCTGTAGGGCTTTAGGGTTTTCTCCTGGGCTGGATTGTTTTTTATTATGATTTTTAGTTTAAGTAGGAAAAGCTGAAGCTGTTAGGATAATGATGATTTTTAAGAGGCTGGGAGCACTCAGGCCGGGGAGCTTGTGGAGCTTGTGAAAGTGAGTCATGTTTGGGGTGGCTTTTCTGAGCCGGAACTGCTGAAAGGCAGGGAAAGGCAAAGCAGGGTGGTGAAAGGCTCTGGGAATATTATCGCAATCAAAAGCAAACAGTCAGCTTCGTCTGCGCTGGCCTCTCAAAAGCTCTCTGTTTTGAAGCTTATGTTGATCTTGAATCGTTGTGTTTCCTTTGCTTTCGCTGCAGCGAGGGAGCAGGCAAGTCATCTCAGGAAGTGCAGCGCAGACCTGCTGATGGGGATGAGCTCCTCCGTGCTAGCACTCCTTCCCCTGGCCTGCCCCTTCTCCAAGCTTTGCTTCCCAGCTGCTCAGGATTTCATAAATCCTCCCCAAATCACCAGACCAGTGTCTTTAAGGTTAGAAATCAGGCTACAAAAAACTTGCCCGAGGAGTGTTGCTTGTGCGGATGCTCTGCAGTGTTTGATCCAGCTTTGCGTTGCTGGGGTATGTTGGAGCGGGTTCCAGACCCGAGATGGGAGCTGGCACTGGGTGCTGGGCACAGGCTTATAATTTCCCTCTCTTTTCCAGGTACGTGTCGCTCTGAAAAGTTTTTTGGTGAGTACTGTCATGTTTTCTTCCTGAGCAATTATTCCCTTAATTAAAAGTCAGGCTCCAGAGTGGATGGGAGGACAGAGCATAGGAGTGCTTTTCCTGCAGAGACTGCTTCAAGCCTTTACGCCTACATTGTCATGGGCTCTGTGCTTTTGGGATCAGGGCTGCAAGGCACAAGACGAGTCCCATTCCCTGCCAAGCCCTGATCAGTCTCAGCACCTGGAGTAAGATTATTCCTGATGAGTAACCCAGTCTTGACCTCCATACTCACCAAGTGAGTTTAAAAGTGTTCACATGACACCTTTTCCCTTCCTTGAAATACCTCCTCGGAGCAGGGCAAAGCTCCTCCACCACTACTGAGTGCCATAAATCTGGTTTTCCTAAACTGAAAGCAGGAGCCCAGGGTTTCTCTCCTTTAGCCCTGTGGGGGAAATGACCTCAGAGCCCGGCTCCGTGCATCCTCCACCCAGGCACCGCAGCATGCAAGACCTGCGGTCATGGTAGGGCAGGTGCCAAATAACCTTGGTGGCACAGATCCTCTTGCACTCCTGGGATTTTAGCTCTCAAGTGAAAACTTCTCAAGTCTTTCTTTCAAAATGAAGGTTTGTGTATTTTGTCAAAGTGTTCAGAAAGTCGAGGGCTTTTTGGAGGGCACTTCAGGCTTGTAGTGGCGTAGGGTCTATCCTTCCTGCCTAGATGTGAGAAAAGATTTCCTTAACCCTCACTCAACCAAAGGAGGTGAGACTTTGCCTCCAGCTGAGCATTTACAGCTTTGTCGCTTGGTGTTTCTGTTAGCTACAGGCAAGATAGCACTTTTAGTGGGCAACAACCGCTACCAGCATCATCCCAACCTCATGGCTCCTGTCACGGATGTGTTTGAGCTGAGTCTTCTTCTGCAGCAGCTGAACTTCCAGGTTGTCTCCCTTCTGGACCTGAACAAGGCTGAGATGGTGACAGCAGTCAGTCAGTTCCTGCAGCTCCTGGGGAAGGGAGTCTACGGTAAGGCAAAGCCAGTAGGGTAAGGTAGCCGATGTGTGGCTAGCAGTGGTCAATGCCAGGGAGGAGCAGGGTTTTGGCAATTTTCCAAAGAGCTGTTGAACTAAAAGAGAAGAAATTGAACTTTCCTTTAGAGGGGGAGAGGAGCCCTGCGGCACAGTCTGCAGCGGTGTGTCTGCAGTGGTGCCAGAAGCGCCCACGTAAAAGCCGTTCAGTTTTGGCCAGGTTACAGGGAGGCAAAATAGGCGTTTCTCCATCACGTGGCTCACCGCCAGCTCCAACAGCGTCATCTCATGCTGAGGTTTTGGGGACCCAACACTTCTCATGGCAAAGGGGAGAAGGTCTTTTGATTTTTCCTTAGATGAAAAATTGAGGTGATTGACTGTCAGTTGTCCCCACTGTGCTTCTTTGCGAGGAAAGGAGCTCCTTTTGAGCTGTGACTTCTAAAGCTGCCCATGATTTCCGTGTTTCTCTTTCCTGATGGTCTAATTTGGGCCTTTGACAGCCTTTTTGGAGAAGCACATTCCGAGCTGCAGATGGCTTTGAGGCTGGGCTTTGAGCTTATTGCACGCTGTCCTCAGCAGACAGGAAGCGTTCCTCAAACACCAAACCAACCAGCAGATCTTGTGGGTCTTAAAGCAGGTGTTCAGATCTGGTGGTGAAAGTAGCTTCTTTGGGGTTTCTGAGGTTCTCCCAGCCTGATGGATACCCTGAAAGCACTCACCAGATGTTGGTTGTTTTTTTTTTTTTTGCTTCCAAATGTTGGCGCGAGGCTTATCTTCACCACCCTCCCAGCTGCGTGACATACCAGGGCTCTCAGACAGCAAAAGTCAACACAGGCCAATTCCAGCCTGGCCCTCAGCATGAAGTTTGGAGGTTGTGCAATGTATGGGGACATGGCCGCAAGGGAAATGCTGCAAAGCCACCTCGTTCCGGGAAGCACTGACTCACTTGGGGAGTCTGAGCTGGCAGGGAAGGGCTGTACGTGGTTGTTGCCACTCCAGCCAAGCATGTCATCTGATGACAGCATATTTCTATGACTTCACTTGCATCTTCCTTTTGTGGTTGCTCTCTGAAATCCCCTTGCATCTCAGGCTTTACCTCCCCTCCCGGGCCAGAGTCATCCCAGGGGGGCTGCTGTGTTTTTCCCACGGCGCTGCCATTCCTACCCTCTATCCATAGCGCATGAGGTCCAAACAGCATTTTGTCCACAGCGCTTCCCTTGTTTTCATAAGCATTGGAGAGAAAAAAAGATTTGGAAACGGCAAACCTTTCCTGCTGTCACACCTTATTTAAACTTCTAGTGCTTTTCTGCATTCGTGGCCACTGATCCTTCCTGGCAAAATTGATTTTGTGCACTGGCAGGGAAAACATTAACAGCTGAGTTACTGAACCTTGATAAACCTCAAGTGTTTGCTGGGCATAGCCTGCTCTGGATGGTGGTTTTTGTTACAGCTTTCTAAGCTGAGTGGTCTGCTATTATTTGGAGGCAGCGAACCAGAGCGCAGGCTGGGCCCAGCAGTGTGATTGAGCTGAGGACTCTTGCCGTAATTGGTGGCATCCAGACTTAGTGGCGGGGCATTGGGTCAGTCTGCCTGCTGATTGCCCCAGGGTTTCTCCATCTGAAGAGTGCTGCCTCTCGCCGTGATGCATCTTCCAGCATTTCTGCAGCTGTTTTCCTTACATAAAATTAAAAGAACGAGGTGAAGTGCAAATCATTGCAATTAACTTGTCTTGTTAATAAAAATGCGCATTTAGAAGAAGCTAACAACTCCTAAACCCTATGTATCCATTTTTCAAGGCGCTAGCTCCAGGATAAACGTCTAGAACCAACGTTCTAGATTCAGGTTTAGGATTCACGTCACTCATACGCATGGGAAGACAGTGGTGAGACAGCAGCTCCAGGAACAAGCTAGGCAGCCTATTAAAACTACAAAGGCCCCAGGGGTGTCTGTGATAGTCGGTCCTGTACATCCACGTGGGTGTCTCAGATACACACCTGCACAGAGGTATCCCAGTGCTTTCACCTGGTTTTTCTGGCTGAAGGAACGTGGAGGTGCCGTCTCCCGTGTAGCAACCACCACTGCTGAAGTCAGGAGAGATTTGCTTAGATGTACGGAGCGAAGCAGGGAGCTGGGAGGGAGGAGAGGGCTGACTGGTGAAAGACTGTCACTGGATTGAAGTGGGAGACTGGTGTAGCACAGACACACCTGTCAGTGTGCCTGGGAAGTGAGGCTGGCAGTCTTCTGAAGTTTAACTCCAGCAGCAGAGATGCTGGGGCATTCATGTGTCTTTCTGATGGTGGAGGTCAGAAGAGAGGACATAGCTATGTGGGGTAGTGTTTGAGCAGGGGGCTTATTGTTGTTTCTAGAGTTTTATTTAGCTTCAGGATGCTGATAAGAGCTGAAGAAGACATGTCTGACCTCCATAGACCTCTGTTATTGTGGGGCTCTCTGGATGGATGGCCCTCCCTTGTATGTCCTTACTGACCCATCTGTGATTTACAGTCCTACAGGGACTGGTGGGAAGGGACTTTGGAGTCATCAACACAAGGTCAGGGTTGGTTGTGGCTCTCCTTATCAGGTCTTGAACACTTCCAGGCATGAAGCCCCCCAGTTGCCCATCCCAGGGCTGCACCACCCTCCAGGGAAGTCTTTCCTCCTGACAAACATGACTCTCCATGGGTTGGTGCTTGTTGTCCCATGTTGTCTAGTCCATACCAACAAGGAGAGTTGGGCTTTGTTGTCTCTGAAACTGTCCCTCCAGGAACTGTAGGCTGTTCTTAGGGCTCTCTTCACCTCCACGTGTCCAGACCATCCCAGTCAAGTTCCTTCCCCCTCTTTTCCCAGACCCTGGACCCCAACATCTTGGTAGCTTCTGGTTTTTCCAGCTTCTCTTCCTTCCTCTTGAGCTGAGGTCCCTACGCCTGGACAAAGGATCTAAGTGGGGTCTACTCGGTGCCAAGGAGAGTGGTGACAGCTTCCCTGGTGATTCTGCATCTCCTAGCGTAGCTCTGTCCCCAGTCAATGCTGGCTCATCTTCAGCGTGGTATCCACTGTGACCCTGGGCTTGCTGCTTAACCAGCGCTCAGCCCCTAGCCAAAACACTGCCTGGGATGATCTGCCCTCGTGCAGGACTTTGTTCTTCTTGTTATTGAACCTTCTCTGAGATTTCTCAAGCCCAGGGCAAGAACTGGCTTTGTTTTAAGGCAGGAGATATTGTACAGCTGCATGTTCGAGGTGATACAAAGGCTTCTCTAATTTACCATATGGGGGTGGTGGCTCATCTGGATGCTTTTCCTCCAGATCTCCTCTTAGAAAAGCTGCAGAGGATTTCTGAAGGCCCCAAACATCCCCTGAGTGGTCTAATTAATCAACCTTCAGGCCAATGAGGAATCTCCCCAGATGTTATTTCGAGCGTCCTAAAAAGTCCCGAGTCAAAAAAAAAAAAGTCAGAAATGCAACGAGAGCAGAAAGTCATGAGTGAAATACTAGGAATATGCCGTCATGCCTTAATTAAGCTGCGTGCTGACATTTCCTGTATTATAAGCAGGGCCTGGAGCTTCCCCCTTTTAATTTGTTACTTGGAAGTTTGTCTCTGATCAGCAGTTTTAAATCACGAGATGTGGGAAG